GAGAGAGAGAGAGAGAATGCTGCCATCCACTGGTTCAATGCCCAAATGCCTACAACAGGCAGGGCCTGACCAGGCCAAAGTTAGGAGCTAAAAACTGAATCTAGGCCGGCACCGTGGCTCACTAGGCTAATCCTCCGCCTTGCGGCACCGGCACACCGGGTTCTAGTCCCGGTCGGGGCGCTGGATTCTGTCCCAGTTGCCCCTCTTCCAGGCCAGCTCTCTGCTGTGGCCAGGGAGTGCAGTGGAGGATGGCCCAAGTACTTGGGCCCTGCACCCCATGGGAGACCAGGAGAAGTACCTGGCTCCTGCCATCGGATCAGCGTGGTGTGCCGGCTGCAGCGCGCCGGCCATGGCGGCCATTGGAGGGTGAACCAACGGCAAAGAAAGGAAGATCTTTCTCTCTGTCTCTCTCACTGTCCACTCTGCCTGTAAAACAAAACAAAACAAAACAAAACAAAACAAAACAAAACAAAAAAAACAAAAAAACAAAACAAAAACAAAAACAAAAACAAAAACAAAAACAAAAAACCTGAATCTAGCTCTCCCAATGTGGGTGGCAAGAACCCAATTACTTCAGCTGTCACCACTGCCTCCCAGGGCCTGCGTTACCAGGAAGCTGGAGTCAGAAGCTAGAGCTGGACATCAAACCCAGGTACTCCAATGTGGGACACAGGTGTCTCAATGGCTAGGTCAAACAGCCACCAAGACTTTGCCATTTTAAGCATTTTTCATTGTAGAAGTCAGTGGCATGACGTGCATTTTTTTAATAACGCTGTGCAACCATCACCATTATCCTCTCTAGAACCTTCTTAGGGTCTCAAACTGAAACTGTCCCCACTAAACACAACTCCCCTTTCTCCCCAGTCCCTGGCAACCTCATTTCACTACTTCCTGTCTCCACAGGTACCTTACACAGGCGGGGTCCCCACGTATGTGTCCTTCTGAGACTGGTTTATCCCACCCAGGATGATGTCCTCAAGGCTCACTCACATCGCGGTGTGGGTCAGAACGCCCTGCTCTCGAAGGCTGAGCCACTGTCCATTGCAGGTCCACGACCAATTTTGTCTGCCTGTTCACCTGTTGGTGGAAATCGGCTGCTTCCTCCTGGTTATCGTGGATAATGCTGCTCTGAACATGGGCTTGAGTTCCTACTTCTAATTCTCTGGGGTATATAACCAGAGTGTATTTGATGGATCATGTGAGTATTATAATTCATTTTTAACTTTCTGAGGAACAGCCATAGTATTTTCCATAGTGGTTGCATCATTTTACATTCTCATCACCAACATTACAAAGGTTTTAATTTCTGCACATTTTTAAAAAAGAATTACTTATGTATTTGAAAGGCAGAATTACAGACAGAGAAACACAGAAAGAGAGAGATCTTACACCTACTGGTTCACTCCGCAAATGGCCACAATGGCCAGGGCTGGGCCGGGATGAAGTCAGGAGCCAGGAGCTTCATCTGAGTGTCCCACGTGGGTATTTTCCCATTTCTTAATTGGTTGTTTCTCTGTCATCCAGTTGTAGGAGTCTTTTATATATTTTGATACTAAAACCTTATTTTATATTATACACACAGACACACAAACAATTTGCAAATTTTCCTCCAAATCCTTGGGTTCTCTTTTCGTTCTGTTGATACTGTCCTTTGGAGCACAACATTGTTTTGCGTTATGAGTAGTCCAATGTATCTTATTTTTTCTTTTGTTGTGATTTTGGTGTCAAATCAAATATTCCTTTGACAAATACAATATCATGAAGATTGACTCCCCGCCATGTTTTCTTCTGAGTTTTGAGGGTTTAGTTCCTATATTTGGGTCCTTGATAGATTTTCATTTTTGTATTGATGTAAAGGGTCCAACCTCATTCTTTTGCAAGAATGGATATCCAGTTTCTCCAATACCACTTATTGGAAAGACTATCATTTTGCAATTATTGGTCTTGGACTTCTCTTCATCTGTGGCTGTGGGTTTCTGATTCAGTCTTGCTGTAGGTCTATTCAGATTTCTACTTCTTTTTGGGCTAGTCATGGTAATGGGTGTCTCTCTGGGAATTTGTCTATTCTAAGAGCTAGGGTCCAAATGCAGGCTCACCCAAGATAGTTAACATCTCCAATTCCCCATTTCTTTTTTTTCTTCATTGTGCACTATGAAGATTATATCAGAATGGGATGCTGTTTTCACAGGACTCTACATAGTACCCAGCTGAAACCCAACCCAATGCAGTCCTGCCACTCTGCTGGAAAAATATCACAGTTTCATTTTTCCCACTTCTCTGTCAGAGGAGCCTGCATGGGTGACTCATCAGATCCAACCTGTGAGGGAGGTGCCAGGAGAGCTGAGCTTCCAGCCAACACCCTTCTGTGCTCCAGTTAAGAAGGTGCCAAGGTCACCCAAGGGTTATGACAGAGGCCCTGGGAACAAGACACGGAAGACAGTGGCCGCTGGCTTTTCAGATAAGTGACAGCTGCAGTCAAGGATCTTTCCGCTCGTCGTGGACAGACCCAGTGAGTGCCAGCCTGAGCATGTGGCTTTGTGTGCAGCTCTGCCCCTGCCACTGACAGCGGGGCCAGGCTGGGCTGTGTGTCCATGGGGAGGCTGGTCTGGTAGCACCAGATGTCTGTCAACAGCCTGGGGACCAATGTTCCCAATGCCCATAGGACAGCACCCTCCGGAAACCTGCCCTTCTTGCCTCCAGAGAAGAGAGGACCCCCACATGCCAGTCCCCCCGTCCCTCGCTTGATCTCACACTGCAGATTCCCCCGCTTTCCCCCTCTGCCCCAAACGCACTCCTTTCCTGCTGCGCTCTCTAACATCCACGGCCGGCAGCAGCAGAGATCTGGACATCTCATCTTCCCTCAAAGCCTCCCATTTCTCCCTGCTCCAGCTCCCTCGGCCTAGGCGCTAATGCTCGTGCCATGCATCCACCTTCCGCCTCCGTTCATGGGACTCTCACACCTGCCTTGCCCGCTCTGTCTCTACTTCTGCACAGAGACAGGCGACCACTGCTGGCCTCTCCCTGCTTCACCTCCTCGCCCCCAGCCGTCTCATGTCCTTACTCCTGGGACTCACGCTCAGGTTGGTCCTCACCATCAGCACCAGTGACATCACCACCGCTGCTGCCCAAGCTCTGCCTCACACCTCACTGTCTGCTCACACTGCCTGTCCTCCCAGCTCACCGTCTGCAACACCTGCATCCCCAGTGGTCTGTCCACACAGCAGCCTCCCAAGCAGCAGGTGTCTCCAGTTGGGTCCCAACACTAAAACCATACCCTTCTCTCCCCCTTACACTGGTCTGCGATATCCCAGACCACTCACCACTCATGGTGCCAAGGCATGGATGTGGCTGGAGAAAGCAGGCTGTGCACTCCAGTCCCACTGGACAACGACCACACCAACCTGAAGTTTCCTCCATGCTGCCTGCTGCGGAGGGGACCCACGTGCTCATGCCAGGCCTGCCCCGCCTCACACCACTGCTCTGGAACCCACCTCAGCAAGGGTTTTGTTTGCCCCAGGCCAGCAAGAACCACGCCTGCAAAGGTCACTGGCAGCCGCACCCCTCCACCCATGAGCTGTGCTTTGCCATCACCCCACTTCTGCTTCCCAGACACTTCATGGGTTTGGCCACCTCCTCCCTCAGACTATGAGCTCCTGGGGTTCTCCACCCACTTCATGGAGACTCCTCAGCTTCTTATCCAGGGTTAGGGTCTGCCTCCTGAGTGCCTGGGAGCCTTCCCTGTCTTGATACTCCTGAAAGTACAGCATCAGAGTCAGCTCCAGAACTTCTTACGACCCATAGGAGCCCATGTAGTCAGAGGAGCCCAGTGTAGTCAGAGGGTCCCAGTCTAGTCAGAGGTCCCAGTGTAGTCAGAGGGCCTCAGTGTAGTCAGAGGGCCTCAGTGTAGTCAGAGGTCCCAGTGTAGTCAGAGGTCCCAGTGTAGTCAGAGGTCCCAGTGTAGTTAGAGAACCCAGTGTAGTCAGAGGGCCCCGGAGTAGTCAGAGGGTCCCAGTGTAGTCAGAGGAGCCCAGTGTAGTGAAGGGCCCAGTGTAGTGAGAGGGCCCAGTGTAGTCAGAGGGTCCCAGTGTAGTCAGAGGCCCCGGTGTAGTCAGAGGGCCCCGGTGTAGTCAGAGGTCCCAGTGTAGTCAGAGGTCCCCGGTGTAGTCAGAGGTCCCAGTGTAGTTAGAGAACCCAGTGTAGTCAGAGGGCCCTGGTGTAGTCAGAGGGTCCCAGTGTAGTCAGAGGTCCCAGTGTAGTCAGAGGGTCCCAGTGTAGTGAAGCGCCCAGTGTAGTCAGAGGTCCCGGTGTAGTCAGAGGAGCCCAGTGTAGTGAGAGGGCCCAGTGTAGTGAGATGGTCCCAGTGTAGTCAGAGGTCCCAGTGTAGTCAGAGGGTCCCAGTGTAGTGAAGCGCCCAGTGTAGTCAGAGGTCCCAGTGTAGTCAGAGGTCCCAGTGTAGTAAGAGGTCCCGGTGTAGTCAGAGGAGCCCAGTGTAGTCAGAGGTCCCAGTGTAGTGAGAGGGTCCCAGTGTAGTCAGAGGTCCCAGTGTAGTCA